GTTGAAAAACCCTTTGATCATCTCGATATCAAGATGTATAATTATGAAAAATAAAAAAAATTGAAGTCTCAAAAATAATGCATTTTACAACATATTATCTACACTTATCAAGATTTTCATAAGTTTATAGATCTACTTGATTTTAACCATTTTTTAAATTTTAAATTTTATAATTAAATATAAAAATAGATTTATTTTTTTAGCGAGAGAGAGAGAGAGAGAGAGAGAGTAATTTTTTAAAAAATTACTTTTTATGATATCTTCATCATTTAAGTAAATGCAATTTTGTAAACATTAATACAAAACAATTGGTACTTTTGTCATATCTAGAGTTCAAATTGAACTTTTTTTTTTTTTTGGATTAATTATTAAGATTAAGAGTGTGTGAGTAAAATTTTGGATCATACAAATACCACAAACATGAAATGTTGTTACATTATACTATGATACAACCGTTGCATTAGATCATTGCCATATATATCCTACTCAATAAGTACATGCAAATCTCTCTCTCTCTCTCTCTCTCGCTAAACGGATATGGCTGCCCTTGTTGAATTTGATTCCTAGCCAGCCATTTGGATAGGCTAATGACATCTAGGAAGCAAACAAGGGGAGAAAATTACTGCACAATGCTCTGTGACACTCGAGGAAGGATACGTGAAATTGGGTAGTGGAAATCTCTGGACTTCCCATCAAAAGGCTCTCTCTTTGTCAGCAGCATCTTCGTATTCAACCTGATGCAGTCGCAGAACCAGGAAGGCTAGTTGCAGGCATGTCCATTGAATCCATTGAACGTTGCAAAGCAAAAGATGAAATAATATCTATAAGGAAGTTTATAGCAGTCAACACCATCACATTTCACAAAATCAATGTGCTAGTCAGACAAACAATGCAAACTAACAAATAGAAAAATCAATTACAGCCGCACACACCCTCCACATGTGATGCACATACTAATGAGAGAACAAAGAGAGATGATTTGCGCAAAATAGTACGATTGGGTCCTAGACAGTCTCCCCACATGGAAATACACTAAAAAGCAGTAGTCACAAATAAGAGATATCTGTTTTTGGGGATAATTTCTAACTAATGGGTATAAATCCAAGATCCACCCACACACCCCACCAAATACAGCACAAGATTCCCCACCTATGTCCTCTCAAAACCAGTCTCTTACCAAAGGCCTTCAAAGAACTTAAGATTACCAGAACAAGGAAATTCCCTCCCCCAATTTTCATTCATAATCTTGGTTAAATTTTTGAACATTGAGGAATGCCTCAGGTAGTTCTAAATCTGTTTTTCAATCATTAAGCCCATAGTTCATCTCCAGCAAGTGGATGAAACCAATATTTTAGATTCCACGACAATATTTCTGTTGGATTCTACGGTAGCACAAGTCCGATTACCATATTGCGGTTGAGGTACTAATCTATACTTTGGTTAGTACAATTCCTCCAAGGTTGAGAGTTCCATGCTCACATCCTCAGGCTGACTTTTAATTACAAGAAATAAAAGCACGATATACACAGCTCAAATCCTGCATCCTCAGGCCGACTTTTAAGTACAAGAAATATAAGTACATATATACAGCTCAAATCCCCGAGTCTTTAATGGAAAATGGTGGGAGAGTTCTCACAATGAATGTAGGAAATACTTGATTTTTCTGAAGAGAGACAAACTTAAGGAAGGCGAGAAGACAAAAAAGTGGAACCCAAGGGAGAGAGGTAAGCCATGTGAGACTCTAGAAAAGGTGTAGGGGAAGTCTTATTCCCTCTCTATCCATATCTTGTTTATATAGAAGTCCCCTTCCAAGATTCCCTATCGTGAAAGGATTTGCATCCAGTCTATATGTTTATCCAAATCCTCAATTTAGATACATCTTTCCAATGATATTTCCAAATATTCCTATTCAAAAATGTCATTCCTAATAATATAATTAGTAATCCTTTCTTGTCAGTATTTCACAATCAAAGTCCAAACTCCCAAATAGGTCCTTTCACCCACAAAGAAGTGGACCCACAAAAAATCTCGCCTCGCAATGGGTGGAAACATGGCGGTATGCAAGAAACTCTTTCACATGCTACATAAGGAAATGAACTATGCGACCTTAAAAATTTCTACAGAGAGAACCACGTAAATATTTCTGTCAAAACTAATCCCTAATGAGCTTTCTATGATCAGGAAACTACTCAATTAAATTGTGCACCCATGCCCAACTCATCCAATAGAACATCTTTCTCATGCAAGCCAAGAAATTTTTTTGCAATAATAAATTATATTATAATCATTGCTCCAAAAGGCGGACCGCCCATTGCCTAAGCGGTCCAGAGGACCTAGGCGCCTCGCGGCTGCCTAGGTGCTTTGGCACCTACCTGGCGGGCGCCCAACACCCAGCCCAGGGGCAAGGGAAAAAAGTAGTTTTAGGCTCATTTCAAACCTAAACCCCTTTAGAACCATTTAAGAGAGAGAAAAACCTCAAAAAACTACATTTTTGTGATTTCCATATCATCAAAGATTTCTCAAAGTTACGATAAATAGATCTAAACATCGCCCATTGACATTAGATTTACTTTTGGAGGTTTTATGGGGCATAGTAGAGGTTTTTTTAGAAGATTTTGAGATTATAAAATATATCATAGGTGGAAGTTTGGAGATTGAGCAATCAGAGTTAGTGAAAAATTTTATTTTTTAGATTGCTTGTATTATTTTGAGATGTCTTCTTCAGGATTTAATTGAAGTAGTGATCTGAGTTGGAAATATGGTTATAACCCGAATCCTTTGGATAAAAATTCCATAAGATGAAATTATTGTGAAAAGGATACAAATGGGGGCATACACCGGCTTAAGAAACATCTTGCTGATATTGGGGGGGATGTTGCCCCATGTAAAAAAAATTCCTGATGCTATTAAAGAGAGAGAGAAAAAAAATTATGAGTATTGTAAAAAAGAAAAAAAGGAGGAGAGAGTCATCCATTGAAGAGTTGAGGTCTGAGGTTCATGTCAATTTTGATGATAATGATAGTGATCAGGAGGGGTGTCAAGAAATAAAACAGCTTGATGTATCCCAGACAAGGGGGAAGGGATATAGAGTTGTTCTTGGTTCTGGGAGTGGGGGACCTAAGAGGCCTTTGGTTAGAGGCCCTATGAATTGTTTTTTGTCCCTGCTTGACCCTGAGGTTGCCAAAAGAGAAAACAAAGAAGCAAACACCTATTGATAATAAAATCAAGAAAGAAGAGAAAGATAGAGCTCCATAGTACATTGCTAGATGGTTAAATAAGGCAGGCATTCCTTTCACTGTTGCTCGCCTAAGCAGCTTCTATACCTTGGTAGAGGCAATGGACCAATTTGGGCCTAGGATGAAGCCCCCAAACCCATATATAAGCTTTCAGAGTCTCTTGAAAAAACAGGTGATTGTCACAAGGGAGATTGTTGAGGCTCAGAAGGATGCACGGGGTCAGTATGGGGTTTCTACTATGACTGATACCCCTCTTAGGAGTAGAGGTTCGCAAAACGCTCCTTCACCTTAACGAACCTAAGGGCAGACTTTAATTTAAGGTAATCTCTGCCTGGGCACAAGTTGTGCTTGTCTCCACCTCAAGATCGAAGTGTACGACCCTGGAGCTCTCAGCCACAGGCAACGACAGTTCGAGCTCCCGATTGGCAGCAAAATTAGCGAGATCTAGAAGACCAAGGTAGCCCAATAAGAAGGCCAGCATGGCATAAAGCCAATAGGCTACTTAGCCACCCAAAGGAATCGTGCCCCGGTCATAGTTTAAAAAAAATAAAAAAGAAGTAAAAAAAAGAAAGAAAAGAAAACAATCAATTTAACAGGACTTTTTCAATGTATCTTTAAAAAAAATTTAGGACAAAACAGGTACAAATGTACAAACAAAAAAAATTACGTAAATTTTAAATAACATGAATTGAAAGGGATATACGTGTAATTTAAAATCTAAAATTGTAGAAAATAACTAAATTTTAAAAATGTATAGTTTCAGATCTCAAAGATGTTAAAAATTGGCAATTTGGTCTTTTAAAAAAAAAGATGAGGAAATGGGTACGCAAATGTAAAACCAGAAAAGAAAAAAAAAAGGTAAATTTTAAATAAGGTGAATTGTAAGGGATATAAGCATAATTTTGTCATATCTAAATCCTAAGATTAGATACATCTCTCCAAAAATAATCCTGAATATTCCCTTATCCAAAAATATCACTCTTGATCCACTTAGGATTCCCTTCTCAGCTCTATGCGACAACCAAAATTCTATATCCCACGTAGGTCCTTCCACCAACAAAGGGTTGGAGCCACAAAAAATCAATCGTTTCCATCCTTGGGCTCAACATTTCCCCATGCAATGCATTCAAGTTAATTTTTTCCCATAAGGAGATTTACATTGGTTTGGGTTATTTGTGCATGTGATTGTGTAAACCAAAGATATTGAAAGCCAACTTTTACTCTTTCCTTCTGTTCGCCATACATAGTAAACATCTTTCTTTAGGTAGGAAGGTGGGTGTTGGACAGTGATGTTGGGTATCTCACTTCCACTTAATTATCTTGGCAATAGGATACCCATTGATGCCCTCAGGCACTAAGTGATTGAACGTGTTGAACATCATCATCCTCCATTGGTCATGTAATCTATTTTTTAAAAAGGCTGACTTTTACCAAGAACCACCCTTGCCATTTACCAATATTACCAAATTTTACATCCCCTGTGAAGTTTTCCTTATAAATTCAAATCTTGAGTAGATGAAAACCGATCCTAAAATGTGGAATATACTCTCTCGTTATGTAGAGGTGATTGGGGATTAGGCAGCAAAAAGTAGTCGATATGTCATTTTCGAGAGGTCGCTATAGAGAGCTCTCTAGGAATTCACAGTAAGAAATGAGGAGACTTCTGATTAGGCAGGTCTTTTCCTAAACAAGATTTTATCAAAGAGCTAACTAAGCCTCTTGGAGCTAAAAGAAAATGAGCTCCAAACTTCCCAGCTAGCAAAATACTCAGCCCGAGGGAATTCGCAGGGCATGCGCATGAGCTCAGGGCACTTTAGATGGCACTCAAGGCCATTTTGGTCCACAGTGGTCCAAAATCTCAAAAACTTGTTACTGAAGATCCATCATAAATGTCATCTAAAAATAATAAAATGTAATATCTTAGTTATTATAATAAACAACAAATGAACTATCCTTTCTAGAAAATGTATGATGAATGACACCCTTAATGCATAAACTGCCCTTTGCGGTTGATTACTATGAAATGAAGAAACAGCCTAGGCTCCTACATTACTCATCAAACAAAATGTTCCAGGAAGTAGCAGTTTGCTGCACAAAATGAAAGAAAAAAAAATCCAAAAATAAAGATTTTTTTTTAAGTGTAAAAATAAAAATATTAATTAAAGCATGCAACATTTATATTGACTATTTGGCATGGACAAACCAAAGGAAAAAAGAAAATGATATTACCTCCACATGTAGTCGAGGTTTCTTTTTAGATTTTGCTTTGCCACCATCTGCCTCAAGTTTTCTTTCATCTAATATTGAATTTTCATGCAATCTCTTTGAACTAGTTCCATCACTGATGGGGTCTTCATCCATTGTCCCTGTATCGACATATGTAACGATCAATAATTATGCATATGAAAAGCACAGATTGTTTCATGCAACACAGCATAGGACATTGTTCAGAATTATAAATTACTAGATATAACAGTTTGTTACCATCATCGTCACTCATATGAGCATCATCCATAGGGAATCCAATAAAATCTTCCATATCTTCTTCTTCCTCAAGTTCAGGAGCTTCAACAAACTCCACTTCTGGCTCCTGTTTTTCAAATACAAGTGAAATCGTTCTATAACATAAGATCACTCGATGGAAAGCAAATCATTGAAAAATTGTTAAGACTATATATATACCTCTTCTTCATCGTCCTCTTCACCAGCAACCTCTATTTTTCCAACCGCCTTCTCATATTGCTCAATAGGGAAATTGTATATGTCACCATATGTTCCACTCTTCAGTCGTTCTAGCAATTCCTTTTCAATAGCCTGCACAAAATGCAAGAAGTCAAATAGCTGGAACCATGAAATAGTTAGAAACCATATGCACACACATGGGGAGAACACGCATACTCTATCCAAAACAGCCGCCATTTCTGCTTTTGCCTCTCTTCTAGCTTCTCTCTTCTTCTATTTGTAGGCATGGTCATAATTTTGTCCCTTCAATAAAAATCCAAAAGGGACATGTAAATATATTACTCAGACATATGCAAATGTTCGGTCCCAGGTATTTTTTGGGGGCCATATATAGTACAATGAATTAAAGCTATTAGTTTAGGCATTCACTATCTAGCATGTGATTACAACTATCCTCAGTCTGGCTATGCAAGGCACTCAAGCACTACATTCTACGCAAGGCACTCAAAGAACATACATTCAAGTCTGCCTTCCTCTAATTCATTTCAGAAACTGAGTTATCTTGTCGAATCAGAGGAGGAAACACTACGACAAACTTTTGTTATCTAATTTCAGAATAAACATGGTAAAAGTTTCCAAGTTTTTGAATAGGTATTCCTATTATGGAAATTTTTTTTTTGGATGCTGTTAACTGTTATTCCTATTATGGAAATTACTCATTCAATTTGATCGAAATAATATGCGACCTCCTGTGGGTTACAGCCCAAGCATGCAGTAACAAATTCCAGTGAGTGAAAAACAAAGAAAATACATACCGAACTTTCAATGCTAGCTTCCTCTTCCTTATCAAATACTGAGTCATTTTGGTGAGACGTTGCTTGTTTTTATGGACAAGAAACTTGGGCCAATGTTGCTGTCAATTCCGAAATAAACTCCATGTTAGCATGAGAAAATTGGGTCACATTCAGTCTGTCATGTTGAATATGTTCTAAACTTGAAAAACTTAGAAAGGCAAATGAGGATAAAGAAAACTACCAAATGCTTGTCAATAGTTTGCAGTGCCTTCTCATAGCTCCTGGGAAGTTTTACTCTTTCCCACAACTTGTTTGGCATATGGGCCCTTTCTATCGACTTCATATACAAATACAGTATCCCTGCAGAAGCAATCAAGCCCATCATCAGCAACAGTAACAACACCATGACATATAGAAGTGACAATCTGATCACAATCTCAGATACAGCACAGCCAAGCATTATAGGGGGCCCAAACAGTCTTCTCATTTTATTTGTTTGACAACTTTGAATTAGTGTTGAGAAAACCAAACCGAACCACCTGGTTCAATTATATATGGAAATTGGTTCCCTTTAGAAGGAAACTGATTCTTCTTAAAAACTATGAAACTGATTCTTCTTACAAACTATCTTGTGAACCTACATTACCACCCCCTTCCCCCTTTCATACTATTTCCACTTTTCTACCAAAAAAAAACTTGTCTAAGCAGTCCAACCAATTGGACTGGCTGTGTCCGACTGTATTGGACTAGACTGTCGCTCTTTCTAAGTTCAACCTCCAGTCCAGTTTTTAGAACACTAATTTGAATAAGCGGAAGGCTCAATGAATATTCACCTTCCTTAAGATCCGGCCCATTCACAGCATGACCATGAAAATAGCACTCACGCTAAAAACCAATGGAAACTGTGATACTCAAAGGCTTACTCTGACCCAAAAGAAAAGTCGTAACCCGTAATACAAATCACTACAAATAGATCCATCTTCTTTCTTATCCAAAGTTCTTCGTGAAAGTGAAGGTACTTGTGAAGGTCAAGCTCTTTAAATGTGGAGGATCAGGTCACGCGAGATCCATACAAACCAGGACCCAACAACACCCAAGGAAAAGAATACCAATCTTGCCAAAAGCAAGTCCCACAAAGATATCATGGCCACGAGGGTATTCAAATGAGAGGAGTCATTAATGCACCACCCAGTAGACGTACAAGACATTCCGCTGATACCAAGAACCTCAATGCAGTGAGTGACTGTCAAATTTAAAGGAAATAAAGAAACACTTGCCTGAAATCAAACAGCCAGAAATGTACCAGACACTTGTATGATGTACATAGGCCATCACAGAGAAAACATCACTAATATAGACAAAACAAGAAGGCACTTTGAGATTCCTTTATCAAACTAAAAGTTCACAAACTTTTCGATTGTTCCTGGATCCACGTGGAGCATGACAATTCGCACAAAAAGAAAACCTTCAAGCTTCAAAAACCTTTCTTGTGTTACCATCTTCACAACAGCAATTAAAGTTGCATTCATTGTGCACTAAAAACAAATGTCTTTCCAACTTAATATCATGAATTACTACAGTCTGATTTCAATATCTGATGAACTCCCTGTGGTATAAAAATCATTAAAAGTCAAGAAGTATGCAAGTTCCATTCTGGTCATTTTCACATTTTTTACATCTTTTCTTTAATCAACAAGTTTCCCTCTGCTCTTGTTTTACATCTTACTTTTAAATGATTGATAAGTTCTGCCCTTTTCTTTTTTATATCTAATGATACCCACAGCCAATTAACTCAATAAAGCGGCAAAAACTTACTCGTGATTGCAAGACAAGAAACCAAAAATGTTTGATTTGCAAGTCCAGCTCCACACAAGAAGTAGGAAGAGGAAGAAGAAAAGAGAAGAAAGAAGAGAAGAAACAAAAATCACTACTAAAAACCAAATGAAAACGAATGAAATGAAGGGCTGCATATCAATATGCTACAGAACACCACAACACTACTAAGATCATATGAAGAGTTCTTATTTTTCTTTTTTCTAAATGAGTGTAGATTAACATAAAATTATAATCAACGATAATAAAAAAAGAAATTATCTAAAACGAAATGGTTAAGCAATCCTCACCTTCATGTTCACCGATTGTTGCATACCGACTATTGGCAAGTGGGCAAGAGCTCCGGTTGCAGAGACCTGTCACATTGTACTCATTTCGACAAAAAATCTGAGTTGTAGTTCTGTGACACAAAAATCAATCACCAAATACCCAGAAAACAATAAGCAAGCTTTCCTTCTCTACATCATTAACCAGGCAGCACTAAAATATTTTAAATGATTTAGAATTAATAATAGATGAAAAATAAAGGAAACCTACAAAATCGAATGCAAATTCATTTTTCATCAAACCCAACAAAACCTAGAAGCAAATTCCTCTTTTCTTAATTATAACAGGAACCAAATTTTGTTAGGGCACATTTGATAACTGGAACTTATTGTAGCATTCTTTGTTTGTTAATAAGAAGTACTACAGGAAACTGGCTTTATGAAGTTCTGGACTCTCAAAAAATGAGAACCAGCAGCTCCATCAGCCCCCATCCCCCAACCAGAAAAAAAAGGTAGTTCGCTTATCCCATTTTTTAATAAATTCGCCTCTCGTCTTTTTTCGTGTCCCATGTCCTTACTCTCTCTAATTCCTTTATCTCTCTAAACATTCCTTTCTCTCTGTAAATCCTCTCTAACCATACTCTTTCTCTCTCGAACTCCCTCTCTAATTGTTCCCTTTCTCTCTCTAACTTACTTCTCTCTCAAAATGTGTCATTCCTCTCTAACACCTTTCCCTCTCTAATCCCTCTTTCAAATTGTGCTTTCTCTCTCTTTCTCTATCTAACCGTGCCCTTTCTCCCTCTAAATTCTCTCTCTCTAACCATGTATTTTCTGTTTAAATCCTTTCTCTATCTAAACATGCTCTTTATTTCTCTAACAGCTCTCTCTCTCTCTCTTCATGCCCTTTCTGTCTAACTCAATTCCCTCTCCAAGTGTGCCCTTTCTCTATCTAATACTATCCTTTTTCTCTCTCTAATTGTGCCCTTTCAAACTTTAAATGTGCCTTTTCTCTCTCTAACTCCTTTCTATCTCTAACCTTGCCCTTTTTATCTCTCCTCTCTTTTTGAAGACTTGAAGCCTAATCTCTATGAGGCTTTGTTATATCACTTTGAAGCCTGATCTCTGTATTTGAGAACTTCTAGACAAGTTATCAAACAAGTATTCAACAGCTCCAACTTCCAACGAACTAGAACTTCCAGATTCCCAGGAATCCCCAGCTTCCAATTGCCAATCGTCCCCTCATTGAATTCAAGCAAAACATGAAGGAGAAGTAAAAGCAAAAACCCAAAAATAAAATAACCAAAAATCCTTTTTTTCTCATTATTTGAACCCAAAAGCGCAAGAACGACATAGAGCAAACAAGAAAGAAGAAAACCAAACAAAAAAAGAAAAACATGTAAATATCAAGAAAATCATGTCCAAACCATGAAATTAAAGGAGAGTGTAGAAGATATACTTGGCCATGAAACTACAATGTTTGTGCCGAATGATTTGCCATATGACCTCATCATGCTGCATCTCGGCTTCTCAATATGAACTTCCTCTGCAACTAAGTCAATGCTTATCGTAACAATCTTTTGCGACTAAATTGGTTCCTTGCATATAAGGGATAGAGAGAGAGAGAGTGAAGGGGTAGAGATAGGAGTGTGTTAAGAGAGAGGCAGAGAGAGAAAGAGTTTGTGTCTGTGTCTGTGTTGAAGATAGGGAAGAGACAGGTTCATGAGAGATTCAGTTTTGAATAGCTCATTTTTTATTTTGGATGATGTTGAAATTAAACAAAAAATAGGGATTGTTTAGTAATTGGTACTAGGAAAAAAGTGGGGACGGGGGTTTACGTCTGATAAAAGAAAGGGGATCAATAGAAAAGGATCTAAATGAGATGCATTTTGTGGAGTGGGGATCTGTGTGTTTTTCCCTTTTTTAATTGATATTACCATGACATATTATAAGAAAACCCCTTTTATGACTCGCTATCTTATACAGGTGACTAACTATCTTTTAATCATTCATGTAAAGCACATGGTACTTGAAACAATAGTTACCAAGATTGTAACATACCGGCTGATCAATCCAATTGGATTACAAAAAATTCCTTGACCGGTCAGCAAAAATCGAGTTCGTTGGAAAACCAGTCAAAACCTATGTTTGATTAGTTTTGGTAAGTTGGACCGAGGTTCTGTCTGGTTAGACCCAAAATTGGGCAACTTTTTATATAATATATTTCATATTTTTAGATAGTTTTTTTTACTTCTCTTTATTTTTTAAAATCTAATCCAGCCAGTTTGACTGGCGGTCTGAGTGATTTGACTGGAGCATACCCTTGACTGGTTTGGTGGCCTGTCACATGGTAACACTGGCCCAAACTGGATAATTTCAAATGACATACCTAACCCATTGTTTTCCATTAATAATTAACCCAATTCTTTTTTTGAGTAACTTATTCAGCAAAAGTGTGACAAATATTCTCAACAATATTGCAATAATGCACCAAAAAAGATATTGTCAATCACAAAAGACCTAATTAAATATCAAAATCCAAAAACCAATGCATCATATAGATTTGACCCCAAAAACTAAAAAATAAAATAATCTCAAAAAGCAAGTCTATAATAAGATTTTATTCTAGCATAATAATATTCTAATCAAGAATTTGGTTTCATTATAGCAAAATAATAACCTTGCATTCTAATCAAGAATTTGGTTTTTTGTGCAGTTCTATAATAGGCTCCCCATAGAAAAGTTAATATACTATTGTAAGAATCAGCTCTCATTTCACAAAGCCAATGCATGAATAAATTTTACTTTCGTCAATCACAAAGATAAAAACAAACATCAAGTAAAGGCCACCAAAAATCATCGAAAACCCACAATCGTGAAAAATTTTCTGAATCCATAAATATTAATTATGCCTATAAAAAAATCCAAAAGATTTCAGCTAACCTTCAATTTATCCCCTTCAATATACTTGTTCACATTAGAAACCAACCTGCAACAAAGTTTACCATCTAAATAAGGAGCAACACCTTCTATTGAATGAGGAAAGTGCTGTGTAACTCTTAATAAATCAAAACTCACTGTTATAAAAATAACAGATCATAGGGGGTTTTGGCTCAGCAGATCATAAGAAAATCTATTCTATAACGGATCAAAAAGCAGATACATATCCTGAGTGTATCCACCTCAAAACACATAGATACAGATAACAAACCATAGCAGACGCAAGTTGTTGACAAGAACCAAAAAACATAACAGTAGCTAAAATGAAAACATACCGTCATGACAAAAGGAAATGAGATGATATATATATATATATGCAGAACCCAGTTGACCCCTGGTCGGTTCCTCCTGACAAAGGTGGATTCACCCCAAGAGACCACTCAAAAACCCTTGGAAGAGATCGACCACCTCTACCAACTCCTCTAGCTTCCTCCCAGCAGAAAACCAGAGGAAGGAAGCCTGGACCAAAAGAACAGAGGAAGCGAAAGCAGCTATTGCTAACGGCAAGCAGGGGCATGAACCCGTAAATGAAGATAAGATCTGGAGCTTGAGTAACCGAGCAAAGGGGCAATCTTTCTCCAATTCCAATAGGTCAGACTAGAAGTGAGTTTTGACAGTTTGGTGATTCAAGTAAAATCAGCTTGTAGTTTTGGATGTATTTGAAACCTATACTTATATTAATTAAAAAAATATAAACTTTTTATTTTTTTATTTTTGTACGCAATGAGCAAAATATAT